CTATGAGGTGGATTGATTCAGTGACTGGGATAATTGGGATGGGAGTGTCAGAGACAGTGCGATTGGCACAGGACAGAGCGGAGTTTAGGGCTGTTGTACAAAGGGTCGCTATGAGTCGCAAGCGACTCGACAGCACATAACAACAACAACATATGGTTTCTAGATTATAAAGCATTAATGCTATAAGACTACCAGACATTTTTTTTTACTGTTAGCTGCAGAAATAAGAACCTACACTCTCTGTAGAAAGCTGAAAAGTAAAAAAGAAACCTTGACACAACATAAAATATGTTATCAATTTTAAGTGGCAAAGCTCAAAATTAACTTTGTGTCACTCATCATTTATAAATTGAAAAAAAAATCTAGATGGGTATTGGCTCTCTGCTATGAAATAGAAAATATCAGATACCATCCAAGTCTTACCTTGCAAGTTCTCTTGGTTTAAATTTCCACCACGTCTCTGGTTCCCGGAAAATGACTTTATATTTATGTTTTTGAGACTATATATAAAAGAAAAAAAAATGAAAAATGTTTTTTTCCATAAAATTAGATTCATTGTTTCAAAATCCTTGATGCATTATAAATGAAAGAACCTAAAAGTTTACCTAATCTTGAGGGTATGTTGAACTGGTAAAAATATCTCTCTGACCTAATAATTAACTTCTAGGATTTATCCTACTTATATGAAGAATGCAAAATTACATGTACACCAGGATGTTCACCATTACAAAAGAATGCAAAACAATTCTGTGCCTATTACTTATGGATCTGACTAAAATAAAAGTGAACTACACAGTTAAAATATTATAGTTCTTTTTAATTCTTAATGAGCATTAAAGAGATAAAGGCTTAAGATACATTAAGAAAATAAGACATATGCACACCCATGTTTATCACGGCTTTGTTCACAATAGCAAGGAGTTGGAAACAACCTAAGTGCCCATCAATAAACGAATGGATAGAGAAGTTGTGGTATATTCACACAATGGAATACTATGCTGCATTGAAAAACAAGGAACTCATGCAATATTATTCAAAATAGGTAACCCTGGAGGCTGAGTGAAGTATCTTAGTCACAAAAGGATAAATACCACATGGTGCCACTGTTGTAAAACAGGACTGACCTCGGGGTTGGGAGGAGACTGAGAAAGATGGGTTCGATAATTTATACTACATTGAAACAGATGAGAGAGAAAACTGTTTAAAAGGGATATGTGATTAGGTATTTTTGTCATGACAGGAGTCCAGAGCGAGGGCTGCATAGTCGAGTGGACTTGGGGGGAGGGATTGTAAAACAATGAAAGAATTTTTCTTTTACTTTTCCAAGAGGGTAGTGTACTAGCGGGGAGGGTTAGGACGGGAGAAAAGTGCATAAATGGATGAATGGAAATCCAAAGTCTCTGTAAATTTTCATTGAAATTAATAATAAATTTTTAAAAAAATTTACCCATTTATTTGGGTAAGAAGGGATTATTCACACACTTGTACATACATAGGAATTTCCTGAAAAGATTCTCAAAATATTAGCATTATCAACCTTTAGGGTATATGACCTTAGACATTCTTTTGCATGATCTGAAATCCTACCATATGAAGGATTTTTTACAATTTTTAGATTATTCTAAATAAAATTTTCAAAGCCTTTATGTGGCTCTAATCTACAAGTCCTTCAACTGTCTTATCTGTCTTATTTTGTAGAGGATGAGAAAAAGCTCAGTTCTAGAATAAGGGTTGGTGGATGAGATTCTCTTGTGTATGTAACATCCCAAAACAACTTCAAATTCATGACCATGAACTTGGGATAATTTATGGTACAAACCAAAGCAACGTAAGGCTTCATTTCCCATGCCTGCAGGTTGGTATTATCTATTATTATAGGAGATATTTTCTTCTCAAATGCTTCTTTTGCTGAAAAACACAAACAGAAAGTAAATAATAATGAAATAACAAGACCCAACATTAGAGAACTCTAGTGACACAGTCAACAGTGTTACGCTGCCAACCCCAGGGGTGGCCCCTCTCTCCTGGCTCAAATACACCAGTAGCTCTGTGGGATCTAGATGGGACAGGCTTGTGAACTTCACAACCTTGGAATCCTGGAAGATGGTCAGTTTCAACTAGATGACCTATTGTTTTCATAATATAAAAACTATACGAGGTGGTAACTACTTTCACGGTCTATTGTTAAATATAATTTTGAATATTCAAAAGTTAAAATATAGGTAAATGTTTCATTAAAAATTTAGTGGCAAACAGGGTTGCACAGTTTGCAGGGGAGCACATAGGAAATGGAAAGGATCCAGGGCGAAAAGGCAGGGTAATGATGGGCAAGGTCCAATGGTAATTAATTTTTTTTTAAATTTTATTTTATTTCATTATTTTTTGTGTGTACCGTCAAATCAGATCTGACTGATACAGGAGGAGACTGTTCCTCCTTCTCTGGCAGAGCATCTGGTGAATTTGAACCATGTACCTCTGAGATTGCAGTGCAGCTTCTTGCCACTAGGCCACCAGAGCTCGCCCAATGGTAATTAATTTTATAAAATATAATGCATGAGAATGATTGTATGAAACACAATGTGAATGAATAATAGTATGCACTGTATACAAACTTTGTAAGCAAACCAATTTTTTAAAAAACAATTAGTGACAAGAAGCTGCGCTGCAATCCCAAAAGCACGTGGTTCAAATCCACCAGCTGTTCCATGGGGAGAAAAGATGGACAATCTCCTCCTGTGTGATTAACTGTTTCTAAAAACCCACGGAGGGTCAGATATGGGCTGATTCTGACTCTACCATAAACAACAACCACAAAGACATCCTTGAATGGGATGGACTGGCAAAGTGATTACCTCAATGGACTAGAGTATGACAGAGACCATGAAGACAGCGCAGTACAAGGCAAGGTCCAGATCTGCTGATCACAGGGTCTCTAGAAGTCAGTTAATCCCTTGACAGCTAACACCACCACCATTAATTATTAAGGCAGTTTGGTGATCTAGTGGGTAAAGGATTGCGCTGTCAACCCAAAGGCACACGGTTCTGCTCCACCAGCTGCTCTATGGAAAAAAATGATATAGGCAATCTCCTCTCGTGCAACTTATAGCTTCTGAAAACCCACTGGAGGGTCAGCAAGGAGTTGGTTCCAACTTGCCAGCAGAGTTTAGTTGACTAATTTTTTTTATTACGTAAGATCCAAGTCTAAGGTATATATAAACCAAAAACTTAAAAACTCATTAGTTTAGAGCAAAGGTTAGAGCAAAGGGTTTGCAATGACTATAACCTCTCACCTATCCCTCCAAAAAGAATCAGACCCTGCAGGCGAGTCTAATGGTTAACAATGCCAGTTTTGTTTCTTAAGAAACAGAAATTAGAAAACACTAAACGATTGTAACCTCCCTGGGAGTCAAGTGAAAATCATCATGACCACTCTACGGAATGCTACCTCTTTTGTCTTACTACAATAACAGAAGTACTAATATACTTTGCATGTATGTTTACATTTTTTTACAAGTTCGGTATCCTCAACACAAATAATTTTTTATATATTATATTTCATATTATCCAGAAATTGAAGACTATGCTTACCACGCTGTTCATTCCATTCATGTGCTTCTTTTACGTATTTCACATCAAACTGGTATTGTCCATTTATGTAAAAATAATCATCAGTACTGAGAACAACTCCACCTGGATTATGCTTTTGCAAAGCCCTGTGAATGATAAATAAGAGTGTTATCATTATTTTTTTTCTTTCTAAGAAATTTTTCCTCCTGATTTTTCACCTACTGATTCAAATGAAAACTTCAAGTATTACTACTTAAAGGAGTAGAAAAATTGTACTGTTCAAACAAATCGTATTAAAAGTTCTCTAGGGGTGGGGGTTGAATACCTATGAAAGAACTTTTACTTTTCAAAGAGAAGAGTGAATTGGGGGTGAGGGGTAGGCAGGGAGAAAAATGCAACAACGAATGAACGGAAATCCAAAATCTCTGTAAACATTCATTAAAATTAATAAAATAAATTTTTTAAAAAAATTCTTTACGAAGAGCATGACTCTCAAGAAATATGTTGCTTTATGCAAAGTATTCTGAAATTTTTAAAAGAAGGCTATAGTAGCCTAGTGGCAAGAAGTCGTGTTGCAATCTCAAAAGCACACTGTTCGAGGCCACCACCTGCTGCTTTGCAGGAGAAGAATGGCCAATCTCCTCCTGTGTGATTATCTCCCTCTGAAAACCTGCCAGAGGGTCAGCTATGGGTCAGTTCCAATCCTACAGTACACAACAACAACATGGGTAAAGTTTATAAATGAACAAGTTCAATTATCAAAAAGACCTACTAAATGAAAATGCTAAATGAGGAGGTGGTTACTACACAGTCAGCAAGTACCAAGATGGAACAGATGTTCAAAAATATGTAACTTTCTTTGCATATTTCTATAGATTTGGTGAGTACACCAAAAACAGGGAGTTCTAATGGCCTAGTGGGCAAACCTGTGCTGCCTACCCAAAGTATGTGGTTCAAATCCACCAGCTTCAGGAAAAAGATGAACACTCTCCTCCCTTACATTTTATTGTTGTTGTTGTTATTGATTGCCATCAAGTTGAGCACGACTCATGGAGACCCTAAGAACAAAAGATTTGAAGCCTTTCTATAACTATTGCTGTTTATCAAAGTTCATCAAGTTTCCAGAGACATGTGGTTAGGAAGTGGATGTCATGCCACACCCTCCGAAAACCCACTGGACGGTCAACTTTGAGTCATTTTTCACTTGATGTCACACAACAATTTCCTCTGGTGATCTAGTGGTTAAAGAACTGCACTGCCAACCCAAAGGCAACTATTTGAATGCAACAGCTGGTCTAAGGAAGAAAAATGGGCTCCTCTTGTGTTAGATTTAAATCTCCTCCTGTATTACATTTATACCAAGAAAACCCAACTGAACAACACACAACAACAATCTTCTCTGAACTTGCACACAGTTTTAATCCTGTGAGCCATATTCTGTGTACTCAGTTTTCCATGTCTTTGGATGATCTTTTTATTGGTTAAAAAAACACTCACTCAGTTTCTACTCAGCTGACCCACATCAGTGCTTACTTCTCTTCCCATACATCAGAAACTGCCCTCTACTGAAAGGTCCCTGAGACACAGTTCAAAACCATGGCTCTACCATCTTTTATGGTATCACCTATAATCCCAAGCTCTTTAACTGGGCTCCAGAGTAGCAGAGATCATGAAGGGTGGTGCTGGAGAGGGCAGACGCTGGATCTGTTGTTGACTCAAAGGGGTGCTCTAAGTGGTAGTCGGCTTGACAGCACTCAACACTAACCCCAGGCTGCCAAATAAAAGCATCCACAGATTCTCCCCCCAGCCAATTATTCAATTTTTCCCCCCTTTTCTTGTTGTGTATTGTCAAGTGGGATCCGGCTGGTGCAAGAGGAGACTGCCACTCCCTCTCCAGCAAAGCATCTAGTAGATTCAAACCAGGTGCTTTCAGGATTGTAGAGCAGCTTCTGGCCACTAGGCCAGCAGAGATCCCTCTCTCTGCCTGTTTTAACTATAAAAGGAACCTGGGTGGATATGCAACTATACTTCCCGACAAATTCATTAAAACTTTAAAGTTATCTGTCTGTAAATGAGTCATCCTTAAACTATCTTCTTTCATACACTTCTAAAAGCAGTATTGAACAACACATCACAGCTTTCTAACTAGCATTAGAATTCTTTGTGTTAGGATCTCCCTTTCACAACTTTAAAACTCATTCTGGTATTCTAAATCTACAATGCCATCCTTCTCTTGTCTAATAGGCTTCCACATTAAAAAACAAACAAACAAACCCCTACCAAAAAAAAAGGCCTCTCTCTTTATTTCAAGGAGGAAGGTCTGTCCCTTTAAGGGTGTAAATTTCTAATAAATCTAGCTTTAATATTTTTTATCCTTCAAAAAAATTTACAAAAATTGTACATGCTTACAACCTTGGAATCACCTTTCATTTCTCATTCTCCTTAATCTCTCAAAAAATATCCTGAGAGGAAAATTGAAATGTCTAGTGTAAACCATACTATCTATCAGCAACAAAGTTAGAACAAACTAATAAATGGAAACATTTTAAGGATTACTAAACATCTCTAATAAATAACATACTTATTATATTCACACCATCATAAATGTTTATGTTCATGCACTACTTTAATTTTAAACTCAATTAAAACTCATACCTTGCCAAAGAAGATTTGCCTGATCCTGGAAGGCCTCTGAGAAGAATAAGAACGAGATTGGAGTAAGACTTTATCTTTTGTGTTGGAGCTGGAGAAACTGAGTGTCCTTGCACTTGATAAGCACTTGTCCCATCTTTATTTTTCCATCCCGAGGTTTGGAAAGTTTGTGAAATAGTCGGGAACTGAATGTACTGGACAGGATTCCAGTGGGCAGGTGTGGTGACAACAGGAGTTACAAAGCCATGGTTCCCTTGAAAGAGATTAAAGGTGTTCATTACTGGATTCCACAACAGCGAGGTTGCATATGGAGGCAGCAATATAGGAACATAGGCCAGTACTGGACTATAATTCATACCCTTCTCCTTTGGTGATAGTTCATTAGGTGTGGATAGCTTGACAGTGAGACCATCAGAAGGTATTAACATATAAGGCGCAAAGAAATTTTTATTCCCATCTGTACCTAGTCCATGAAGCTGTGGATTTTGTGCAGAAAGATTTAAAGGAACGTGAGGTTTGTTGGCATTCCCATCTGCTGGGCCTTGAGAGAACTGAGTCCCTATGCACTCAGTTGTTGAAGACTTTTCCTTTATTTCCTTAAGATTGCTATAATCCACAATGGAACCATCTACTAAATGTAAAGGTCTGCTTGGGAGACAAGTGTCCAGAGATTTATCTTCTGATGCCAAGATGTCATCTTTTAAAGAATGTTGGCATTCATTTGAAACGGATTGTGAAGTTAAAGAGTTTGAGTTTAATGCAGAGGCAGAATTCTCTGTTATTTCCTTGGTCAAATCCGGATTTTGTTGCAAAAGAACGGGACTTGAACTACCTGAAGCTGAATTTACGTATTCACTGGAATCCCTCAGACTATTAACATCTTGCAAAGGCCAAGATGGTGATAAGTGGCCAGCAGAAGACTCAAAGGGCTCAAAAGTCCTTTGTGGTAAACTGTCAAATTCTTGAGTCAGCAGGATGTCCAAAGCAGCATCCACGTGTGAATCCTCCCACTCTTTTCCAGGACATTTTCTCATTGTTTTATTCTCTGCCGTGCTTTCTAGGTCCTCTGAGGCAGGCAAGCTGTTTGAAAAGGTCTCTTCTTTCTTGGGACCAGAAGCTGATAATTCCAATAGTGAATCCATGGCATTCTCAACTGTGCAAAAACAGCAACAACAACAAAAAAAAAATCACAAAATATATATGCACTGAAAACAGCAAAACAAAGTATTGTTAAAATCTAAGTAGACCAATTTATAAATATCCAATTTATTTCTTACCAAAGGCCAATATGAATTTGCCAATGATTTGAATCACGGTGACACAAACTTTCAGACAAGCAGTAACAAATTTGCTAATGACATGTCATCAAAATACATTCTCTGATAACTCTATTGAACAAATGTATACATATCAGCAACTATATTTACAGGATTACAAACATCCAAACAATAAATGAATAAATACTTACTTGATTGCTTTTTAATAAGTAAACATTCTCAGCATTCCCCTAGTTAAGTGGATTTAAGCCACCCATGTTATGGATTTCACATAAAACAAAAAATATTTTAAGTCAAGAAGACTTGCTGGTGTAGTAGTTAAGCACACAGATTGAAACTGAGAAGTCAGTGGTCCAAAGCTTGTTCCTCGGGACAAAAATGTAGCAGTCTGCATTCCCAGAGCTTCCAAGCTCAGAGATCTTATGAGGATTCTGGGTAAAATGGTGGAGTCAGCAGATAGCAGCCCAGAACCTCTTTAACTAAGACTCCAAAAACAAAGATAACAGATAAGGATTCTACTTCTGGAACTCGGAATTTCAAAGAAAAAAGATAACAAAATAGTTCAAACACCACAGAAAAAAGAAACTGAATAAAAAACACTGAATAAGGAGACAGTGGGGCAGTGTAAGGGTGTATGGTGCAACCATTCTAAAAGATAACTTTTTTATCTTGAAGGGTCTTAGAATTGCAATAGCATCCAGACCAGCAGTTGACCAAGAATGTTGTTGTTGTTATGTGCCGTCCAGTCATTTGCAACTCATAGCGACCCTATGTAAAACAGCCCTAAACCCTGCTCTATCCTGTGCCAATCTCATTGCCTCTGACAAACCCATCCCGAGTACCCCAGTCACTGAATCAGTCCACCTCATAGAGGGTCTTCCCCTCCTGCGCTGTCCCTCCAC